GCTACAGTCGGCTAAATTTCAGTTAAACAAATGAAAAACAAAAAGCATTCGTACAGCAGAAAATAAAATTCACCCCGTCGACTTGATGGACACCCCAGCATTGCATGTTGCACCCTCTTTTGGGGTGCAGTACTAAGTCAGCGGCCGTACCTGTCAGTCAAACAGCTCGTGAGCCTGAAAGTGTCGATAATTCGAGAACGCCGTGAGCAAAGAGGATTTCACATTCCCCAACTCACACGGTAATACAGAGTTTTATTTAATTATCAAAAAAAAAAACCCAATTTCCTCTTTTTACAATCCCCATTTTTATATTCTCCAAAAAATCCGATATCCTCAATTGATTGATTTTTCCTCTTATAAATATATTAGGGAGAAAATAATTATCCTAATAGTCCCATTTTGCCCCACCTGTTAATTCTGTGATGGCGAATGGAAAATTGTCGAGATCTCTCTATATTTCGCAATATTTACGACAATTTGGGATTTTCGTATGGAATCCGAGATTATTGCAGTTTTTTAGTGGAAGAGAGTCGAAGAATTTTGAATTATGAAGTTCCAGTGGTTCGAATGACATTTTTACTTCACTTTATTTCGGAGAGATGGATAACTCAGGATCATTTGTAAATATTCATTGAATTCTGTGACATGTCATTTTTTTTTTGCGAGATTTACGCAATGTTTTCGCAGTGAGAAATAAAGTGAGATTATTACCTGAGAGATGACGGAGAGCAATAGACAATTCAGTAAATACCTGAGAAGATCTGTGAGGTCTCTTAAAACCAATGTAAGTTGAATTAATTAATGAATTTTTGATCGATTAATTATCGTTTCCAAAAAAGGAACTGTCAACGACAATTATTTTCCGTAGGTTTTAGAATGTGGAATATGCGAGGAGGTGTTCTGCATCGAAGGTGACAAAGTGCCACGACTTCTGCAATGTGGACACACGGTTTGTCATTCTTGTTTACTTCGTCTCCAGCCCTGCATATCAGAAGTGCAATTCCTCTTCTGTCCATTCGATCGTCAGCCCACAGAAGTGACGAGTCGCGAAGGCGTTCACAGTTTGAAGAAAAATTTTGCCCTAATCGAGCTCCTGGAGCGCCTGGAGCAATCGAGAAATGAAAATTCGTCGACCCTCGAGAGGGAGAGACTCCAGTCAACGCAACCCTGTGACGAGGATGATTCCCATTTTGCTGTTATTTATTGCACCGTGTGCTCCACACATCTCTGTGAAGCCTGTGACACTCTAACGCACTCGTCGAAGACCCTGGGAAAGCACAGGAGAATTCCATTATCCGAGAAGCCAAAGGAGAAGCCAAAATGTCCAATTCACACGAATCACATTGCTGAATTCACTTGCATCCAGGAGGGCTGTGAAAATGCTCTCATGTGTTACCTCTGCAAGGATTACGGACGTCATAGTGCTCACAAATTAGCACTAGTTGAGATTGAAGCTGAAAGCCTGAGGAAATCGATAGTTCTGGCACTTCAAAAGATGACACAATTTATGGAAAGCATGAAGGACACTTCACATCGCATTGAGGTGGTGATTCAGGAGCTGGAGGGTTGGGCTATTGAAGATGCTAGGTACAGAGTGGAACATCATTTTGATGAGTTACGACTTCAGCTGGCAGAGCAGGAAAAAAATGCACTGACATGTGTCGACGACGAGATGAAGGGGAGACAAGCAGCTTTGAGACAGCAATTGCAGGATTTGACGTCCACCAGATCCCAAGTGGCTGATGTTTGCATTCAGTGTGAGAATATATTGGATAATGAGGACTGGAAATTACTGAGTGGAGCTGAGAAGGTGCAGGAAGTGCTGGGATCTCTGGAGCAGCAGCAGCAAAAATATGCACAGCTGGGGCCTGATTTTTTGACTCCTGAAGCTTCCATTCCCATTATTTTTAGTCGGGACAATCGTGTTCATATACAAAAGAAAATTTATATGAGAGTGGTGATTCTGGGTCTCGATGGCGCTGGCAAAACGAGTATTTTGTCAGCCATGAAAGGAATTACTCTCACTAATCCACCGATTTCCACAATTGGATTCAACGTGGAAAGTCTAGAATACGAGAATTTGGTGATAACTCTCTGGGATGTGGGTGGACAGCACAAGTTTCGTCCACTCTGGAAACATTATTATCATAATGCACAGGCAGTGATATTCGTGGTGGATGCAAGCGACAGATCGAGATTCGAGGAGGCGCAGAATGAACTCGCGAAAATAGTGAGTGAACGGCACTTGAGGGACGCAGTCGTTCTAATTTACGCTAATAAGCAGGTGATGATCATTTCCTGGATTTCGATCGACAATAAATTCATTTGGATTAGTGAAAATATTTTTTCCAGGACGTAGAGGGATCTGCAAGCATTGAAGAGCTGACAGACATTTTATCACTTCAAAAATTGTGCTGTGGCAGGGCCTGGCACATCGAGGGCTCATCTCCATTGACTGATGCAAACACATCGACCCAGGGACTTCAATGGTTGACCCAACAACTCGGTGCGCATGGTTACACTGAATTAAATTTAAGAGAAAAAAATGTAAAATTTTAAAACGATTAATTCCCCTGTTCCCATTCCCTCTCTGTAAGGATTCGAAAGAAAAACAAATCGAGCACGTCTAGAAAATTCTTATTAATTTATTACATTGTTATTGGCGTTTGTGTTTTCAATGTTTATCATCTTTAATTTATTCTGATAAAATTATTCAATAATTATCACTCAGTCATATTCAAACACACACCCAATCACTTACCGTCATATAAATTTCTACGTAGATGAGGAAAGAACGTTCGACTGCAAATCATAAGATTAATAAACATCCATGAATTGGTAAACCTTGCTGACAATAATTAATATTGAATTTTCTTTTCAAACTCACTGTTATGATTTTTCTTTCATAAAAAACACTTGACAAACAAAAACGGAACAACTTATAGTCTTTGTGGAGCTGTGGCGAAGGTGAAGCTGAGCACGGATTCTCCAGTACCATCAATATATAATTTTTCAAGCAGCAAGTACGTTATCGTCGTATTTTTCCACGAGTTCAGTATTTTTTCACTGTAGCACTCCCTACCATCCCACCGGATATCGAGGAATGATCCGTTAATTTAAAAAGAAATCTGTCACGATCTACTGGGTGTAACAGGACCGAAGAAAGTTTCAGATAAAAACGTCGATACTGTGGATTAAACTCTTCTTTTCGATGGTTTTATTCCCCCCCGTGCCAGTTGGTGCGTATATTCAAGCCTGCCAGCCCCTGGAATACAGTCTGAATTTTTGTTGTCACTCTTGACATTTATTTACAACTCGTCATGTTCCTGCAATGAGAAAAAACAAAATATTAAATTTCAGAATTCAATGGGATAATCCAAGAGTTAAGGAATTTTTGAGATTCAGTAACGAGGAATTCCACTAAATTTATCGCTCATGCGTTTCAGAAGTGGTTTTTGTCATCATGATGAAAAATAAAAAATAAATAACTGAGGAATTAAATAACTGAAGAAATAATTCTCACCTCGACATCTCCAGCGGTGCTGTCTTCCTCTTCAGCCTCATCGTCTTCGTCAACATCATTGCTGTCTTCGGTTAAATTTTCACTCGCTTCCTTATCAGCCTTCTTCCTCTCCTCTTCGTCTTGAGCTTCCTTCATCTTCTTCTCTCCCTCCTGCAGAATAAAAATGATAAAACATTAAAACCTTGACTCCAGCTGCTCTGGAATTTTTTTCAACTGATAGTCTTCTCAGCAACGAGGAATTCCAGCTGATTATCGCTCATAATTATCAGAATTCATGTTTCATCATTCGAAAGAAGTAATTAATTGAAGACAAGGATGAATTTTACTCACAAGAGTGGGTTTCCACACGTCGTCTCCAAACTTCTTGGCAGCTTCAGGATCATCTGTGATGAGAACATTGTCGAAGATAGTTCCTGACTTGACCTGCCACAAATCAAAACCAATGGCACAGACTTCGTCCTTCTTGTAAAGCTCAGAATCAGGTGTGTACTCAGGGTTATCGATTTCAGGATGGATCCAGGGCCCCTTGTAGTTGGGATTGTCAATCTGCTTGGGTTTCCATTCGCCCTTGAAATCTGGATTGTCAACCATTGGTGCCTCCCATTCACCGTCCATCTCCTCGTCCCAGTCCTCTGGTTTGTTGGCCTCTGGGTCGGAAATGAGCTCTGGCTTGTCCCAGTCCTCTGGTTTCTTGTCCTCTGGGTCAGGGATCGTTGAACGATCGTCCCAGTCCTCTGGTTTCGTCTGGGAAGGATCCTTGATTTTCTTGGGGGGAAGGAAGTCCCAATCGGCCTCCAAACTGCCTGACTCAGCTACTTCATTATCAATCAGAACCTGCAGATCAATTTTCCATTATTTGTAATTCTCATTCACCAAAAAAATCATGTGATTACTCAGTGAAGAATTATTGAGAAAAATTCTATGTTCATTTATTGGCCTTCGCGTTTTAGCTCGTAACGTCAAACTAATATTGCAGTTACAAAAAATGCAAGCGAGACATTCTTTACTCTTCGAGGACCTCTAGCACTTGCAATTTTAGGTTAATGAAAGAGCATGTGACTCTAGGCTCGATTAAATACCGATTATCAATTTAAAGTACCTGATATGTATTATCAGGATTGACGATGAGAGTGTAGAGATGAGTGTATTGATCGTCCTTGCAACGAATGTCCTTGTTAATGAGGAGATTCTTTCCCTTGTAGTTGAAGATGACGTGCACTCTCTTGGTACCAGGACCGCAAATGTCAGGTCCTAAAGATGAAGAAATAACGAAATAAATGAAGAAATGCATGAGAAATTATTAATTTCGGTTTAATTGTGGACAGAAATATAATTACCGAACATGAGGAGGTAGGGGGTCTCTCCGTGCATGTCTTTCTGATCGAGTGAACAATCGAATACCTTCACGTAACCACCACCGCAGTCAATATTCTGTTCGTGCTTCACCGTGAATTGAACCACCAGTGGTTTATCTTTGTTTGAGAAAGGCTTGAATTTCTTGCTGAGAGCATAGAACCTCGCATCCTGCGACGTTTGGATTCCTGAAAAGTAAGAATTATTTTTAAAATGTTCACTGAACTTTTTTCATACATTATTATCGCCGGAATTAATTAATGATTTTATTGTTTCCAAAATTATTGGAATAGGTAAAAAAATGTGTCTGCACTAGGTACCTGAGAACATGTATAATTACACGCTCAGGGCATAAGCCAGACTTATTTAATCTCCGAGGTCCTGTAGCACCTGCCATCCATGGGAGAAAGGCATGTGACTCTAGGCTCGGATTCGTCATGGCGGAAACCACTTTTTTATAATAAAAACTAAAAAAAAATGTCATGGTGGCTGAATCGGCAATTCCAACGGCAATAAAAAAATCATTCTATGTCGAAGATTATCGATTTGAGATCGATTTTGAAATCGATTTTCAAGGTGACTGATTCATTCATGTAATTGGAAAAATTACCTTTGTCATTTTCTGGATCGTTCCAGAATTTTCCATGGCTAAGTACGAATTTTCCAAACTCCTTTCCAGGATGTTCGGAGTAAACCCAGTTTTTCTCCCACGAATCTGTAAATGAAAGCAAAATTAATAACCCAAAAATCAAGAACAACAGATAAATCAAATCGCGTAAATAGTCGAATAACGCGTAATATATTTCCCACGTGCCTGGAGGAGACAAAAACGTATCCTCATCCGGTGGTGCCAGAAATAAAAATGACTATATTCTCGAATTTCCGGTGAGTGCAAATGTCTGGGGCGCAATAGTCGCCCTCTCATTGGAAACAATACCCAAGGGAAGACCTGAACACCCCTCACCCTATTTCTACCCTTAAAAAATCGGAATTTCAATGACCCATCCCCGATTTCCATGCAAAAGGTGAAAATTATTACCTCTAAAATACTGAAATCAAAATAATGTACTGACGGTTACCATGACTTCCATTAAATAACACCCATAAGCCCCTGACAGGCCCCAAAACCCCAAAATGAAATACAAGCCCAAAGGGTGTGTCGAGGGAAAGTGTCGGAAAAATCTATACGACATGATATCAATTTATCTCCAATTTTTCACTCACCATCCAAGAATTTCTCCTCGAAGTAGATATCTGCGTAGACAACAGCTACAAGTACAAAAATCGCGATGAACGCTCGCATTTTGATGTGCACTTATATCTCAATTAATTCTAATAAACTATCTCAGCAAACCGGTGATGACAAATATAAATTGTAATGAGTGTTGATCTGAGGACGAGCCAACCGATAATGCCAGAATCAGAGAAGTCTTGACGGGAGTTGTGTATTGAGGGCTAGACAGATGGAGAAAGCCCATTGGTTGATTAATTTTAACCAATCGACGACAACCACGCTCTTAAGTATACGGACGCGTTTTAATTTCGGCGACGTGTTCTATTTGTGCGACAAGAATTTCTTCTTCCATTCGTATTGGTTCCCGTCATTCCAGTCCGCCAACTTCAAACTCTTACACTGGGATTCCCAGTGGTATCACTAGATGCCACCACGTCCACCTGGAACTATTTAAAAAAAATTGCTAGCCGGCTTCAGTTTACATCCGTGCGCGCGCGTATATAAAAAAAAACTACTCTCAGACCTGTGGAACAAAGCAACAGCTATTAGAACAAAACGTGCGTTGTTGTGGTCAAGTTGTGATTTTTTAATGGAGAGGAGACGAATCCATCATGAAGAGTATTGATCATGGAACTTCTGAGGTAAACAGCTGCTTTTCAGAAGGAATGGATATTATATCGACGTATTTTAGGATTTTTCTTTCATCAGATTATTATTTGAAAATCGTGGCTTATTCAGTCTGAAAATTACGGATTTATTGGTTTTTTGGAGATAGAAAAAACTCGGAGTTCTTGAAGCGATTGTCGAGGAGGCTATCGGTGATTAGTTAGTGATGGAAAAATCGCGGTGAAATGCTCTCTTTCGTGGGATATTCTTCTCCGACGTTTGAGAATATTTCGATGAAATGTTTTTTTTTTTACTCCAGAAGGAAGAATGAGCCTATGAGCTATCGTTTTTTGTGGGTTTAGGGAATAAAAACTCGGAAGTGCAATGTTAAGCTATGAGATCAGACGCCTGGAGTTGAATTGCAAAAAAAATTGTTGTTTTCCAGTTTTTATCGTCTTTGAAAGCTAGCGAATTAAATTGTTGACATTTTCATGATCCTCATATAGTAGTATACCAAGAAAAATAAAACAAACAAAAATTATTTAGGAATCTCAATTGGAGTGTACTATCCCCTTGGGTGGCAACCTCTCCAAAAAAGAGACTTCCTCCGAGTCCGCAGATGTGGAAATTAATGACGAACCAGAGTTTAATCCAGGAGTTGCCAATGTCCTGCGCACGTACAGCAAATTGAAGAGAAAGTCTCCAGAAACTTCTCCAGAGTGTGAAAACAAAAAAATAGAGCAGTCGACTCCGGAAAAATCATTAGAAGAGAAGTTGCCACCTGCCAAGCGGTCCAGCACATTCTCAGGGTCTTGTTCACCTTCTGCAAAGAATATGAAGATTTACGTTCGGTTGAAACCTCTTCAGAAGGCAGTTCATTTCAGCGGAGAGCAGCAAGAGCGATACCGAATCATTGGTCCTGAGCTGTTTATCAATTTGAGCGATGTCCAGCAGGACATGAGCAAAATGATTGATGTCGTGGCGAAGAAGTTCGTCTTCTCTGAAGCTTTGGGGGAAGAAATCAATCAGACGGAGATGTTTGAACGGGTGGTGGCACCCCAGGTGGAAAAATTCATCGGTGGGACAAGCTGCACTGTCATGGCTTATGGTGAGGAAAGACTAGTTAATATTAATTATCTTATATTTTATTCACTTACTTTCTTGTGATCTTCTCCGTTATTTCATTGAAATTATTTTTCGTTTCGTGATCCCCTTAACGAGGGGGAATAATATATTAATTAAATTAAATAGAATGAAATAAAATATTAACTTTATTAAAGTAATTGAACCATTCCCTAGGCGCAAAAGCATCAGGAAAGTCCTACACAGTGAATGGAACTCCCACCGATCCAGGATTAATTCAAAAGACTCTAGACTACATTGTTTCCCTGAAGACGGTCAAACCTATCCCTAGCTACAAGCCAGTGGACAACAGCCTCAAATGTTTGACATCAACAGAGAGGGACGTGGAGCTTAACAGTCGAGAACGTCCTTGTTCTTCCTCTCTAATTTCTTGTACAGAAGGAGTTGATGCTCTCGAGGCATGTGAAAACACCACCCACGCACAATACGAAGTCTGGGTGTCTTTCGTGGAAATTCGGGACGAGAATTATTTCGATCTTCTGTCTTCTGACTACCTGGAGGCCCACTCTCTGAAAATGGAATTTGACAGTGAGGGGAAGGGGTTTATCAAGGGTCTGAAACACGTGTTTGTGGGGACAGCCCTGGAGGCTAAGGAAGTTCTCCACAGTGGGAGGGATAATTTCTCCAGATGGCATGAAATTAATAAGACAGAAACTACCAAATCCCACAGCATTTTTACAGTGGCACTGTTGAAGTATTGCACATTGGATGATGCAGGATCGGTGCAGATGAGTAAATTCTCCTTCGGCGTTCTGGCAGCGCAGGAATCCCCGGAGTTGGACCCGAGCCTGCTGGCACTCCTAAATTGCCTGGAATGCACGAAAAACCTTCACCTCCCCACGCCACACCCAGAGCCAATCGAGTGCTTCCATCCCTCCCGCCTCACGGACCTCTTCAAGGACGCCCTAACCGGGGAATCCCCTTTCTCCCTCATCGTCACCGTGGATCCCAATCCGGAAGTTTACTTGGAGACCCATGGAGTCCTTCACTCGACGTCACACTCCACGGAAATTCTTACAAAAATTCGAAACCCTCATCCACCTAAACCCTCCACAGGTTTTGGTAAATTAGCTGAGAGACCCCAGGAAATTGTCGACTGGGAAGATCTCACCCCTGAGAGGCTAACGCTCCTCTCTGACGCTTTTCAAGATGAAATCAGTGTCCTGGAATTATTGAATCTACGGGGGGACGTCGAAATCCGTCAGAAAATCATCAAAAGGTATTCCAACATAATTGAAAGAATTGAGAATTTTTACAAGAGAAAATCAGAGGCCGATTTGCATTCGGAAGATATCGATGCGTTGAGGACAGTTTCTCAGAAGCTCCGATCTCACAAGCAACTTCTGGAGCGAGAGCTGGCTGTCGTTATGATGGAGTTGAATGAGATGTCTGGAGAATCTTTGGAACCACACGATGAAATTGGTAATCAGAATCCATACGTTCTTCTCTTCGAGGAAACCATCGCTGAGAAAGAGACTAGGGCTAAAAATGATCACCTCATCACACAGTTGAATGAAACTAGGGGAGAGTATTTAAGAGTTCTCAGAAAGACTCGAGAGAGGGAAAGAAAAATTGTGGAAATTGAGAGAAAGTACATGGCCTTGAAAATGAATCGAGAGTGTGAGTTTATTCAGCACAGAAATGTGAATTATTGCTTCAAGGAGCAGATGGGGGTCTTGATGCGGTTGGAGGAGAGGTTGCAGAAGGAGAAAATATGGTGCCAGCGGTTTCAAGAGGATTGCGAGGGGTTCAAGAGCATGCGGAAGACTCAAACTGAGGAAAGAAACTGCGAAGAAGGTCAGGACGCATCCAGAGATATTGAAAGTGAGGTTTTTGCTGGAGAAGATAGGGAAGGAGCTCCTGAAAGTTGTGCGGGCTCCTCGGAAGAGCAGATTGTGCCTCTTTCACCTCAGGTATCAGGACCTGCAATTTTTACGGATCCTCAGGCAGTGATTATTCCTTCGGGCAATTCAGTTGTTGATTCTGAAACATGTGCAGTTGGTGGGACAGAAATTGTTCCAGTTGATTCAATTCCTCCCACCACAACTCCGACGATTCCTGAAACTTCGAGATTACTGCAAGAGAATGCAGGTGACGAAGAAAAATCATTCTTGGCGGCAGATAAACAGGGGACTGGCGTAAACAGTCTGGAGAATATATGCCATTCACTGGTGAGTAACAATAACCATTTATTTTTTGTACCAACCTCTGCAGTGTGCTCTATCCAGGATACTCTTGGAAATGTTAATGTTAATTCACTGGATGAGACAACTGTTGTCTCTGAGAGAATGAATATTCCTGGATCTGCAACGCAGTGCGTTGCTCCTGGAGTTGAAGAATATTCAATAATGAGTAGCGATCCCGAGAGTGTGGGGAATATTACGATATCTTCGCAAATGCATAAAGATAGACTCCCAGAAATCTTCGAGGAAGATTCTGATTTGAGTGGTGAAGGTGCAAATATTGCTGACCTTGAATATCAATTTTTCACCCCCGCAGATAGGGTTTTGCCTTCAGAAGTTCCAATTGACAAAATTCCTGAAGCTGAAGGATCATTAGAATCTTTCGATCCACAAAATGAAATTCCAGAACCAATAAAACAAAATACTGAATTAATTACGATCGCTGAAGAGTGTAAACAGCTGGAGAATCAGCCCCTGGTGGGTTTAGAAAGTGAGAAGACTTCAACTTCAGCGTCAGAAGTTCATTTTTCATTGAGTACTTCGGCATTGGAAATTAATTCAGCCTCAGAGGAAATTGCCCTGGCTGAAAGTGCAAGTATTCCTCATCTGGACGGTCAGCTCTTCGTCCCTGAAGACAGGGCTCTGCTCTCCAATAAAAATCCGGAATTTTCAAACCTCGAATCTAGAGAGATTTATGAACCTGAAGAATGTTCTGAGAAGAATGACACGTGCAATCACTCCCGGGAATCTTTGGAATCTTTGGAAATACAGGATAATACAACTTCAAAACTCGTCGAGAATGAACAGGAAAATAGTCAAATGATCGAACCTTCATTGCCTGAGCTTGAATCAATCATTCATCAGCCCCCAAATATTTCTCCCAAGACCGGTGATCTGTCTCCTGAAGCTGCACTTTATCTTCCAGAGTCATTAATGAACATTTCCAAACATGAATTAATTACTTTTGCAATATCCCAATCGTTGGCGCCTCCACATCAACTGCTTGAGACTCCTTCAACAGAAGAATTTCCAATAGATTCGATCACCTCTTTGGAACAACAAGATAAAACAACTCCAGTAATCGTCGATGATGAAAAGCCTTTGGAGGACGTGGTGAATATAAATAATAATAAATCTTCAGTTTCCACTTCTATGATTGAAGAAAAAAGTTTTGATTTATTGGAACACAAAGCTACAGTTCTTCAAAGTGTAGATACCTCTGAAGTTGGAGTTCTCCCTCTCTCAGAATCAGTAATGCCTATTGAAGATAAAAAGATCAATATTCCACTGGCTGAAAATTCTTCTACAATGAATAGTACTCTTTTCCCTGAGAGCGAAGCGTCGACACAGATTAAAAAAGAACCAATTGCTATCATCGAGGATTTGAAAGAACAGAAAAATTATAAAAGCAATCTGAATGACGGACCTCAGCCTGTGGTGAGTATGGAGGAAGCAGCCAAGTCTCAACTCAAGGCAACTGAACTAAAAAATATTGATTCATCGGACCGAAAAAAGTCCGAAGGCTCTCCTACAGAGAAAAACGGATTTACTCTTCTCCAAGAGACCGTCGAAGCTCCAGCAGTTCTTCAAAATTCCCTTGAAGTTATTGAGAACGTCAAAGATGTGGAGAATAATCGGAACACTCTGAGTGAAATATCTCAGCTCCTAATTGACGTGCACATCGAAACGCCCTCGCCCTCGACATCCGAAACCCCGTCTTGCACTAGTGAGGATTCCCTCGTCAATGGGGGATCAACTGAGATGGGATTGATAACGACAAGATCCAGGACTCGAAAACGTTCTGGATCCCCACTGAGGACTCCATTAAAAAAACATGCCAAGCTGTTTCCACCAGATAAACCAACCAGACGAAGCCCTCGAATGCGTCCCGAGGGAAAATTTCTCACGGTTATTTGTGATAATTGCAATCAAGTTATTCAGGAAGAATATCGATATCATTGCAAAGTATGCCTTAATGGGGGATTCGATTTATGTGAGAAGTGTTTTAAAAAGGACAGGCATCAGCATAAAGTTGATCATGTTCTTACGATTCCTAAGGGATTCATTCGGGGATAAATTGACAGATGAGAAGCATATAATATTTTTCTACGTTCGTTATATATGGTAAGAATTAACTTGGAGGTGAGACCAAATGGTAATTAAACTTTTTCGGTATCTTTTACAATCAAAAGGCAAAAACTCATTCAGTTCTCGATTGAATGGATTTTTTTTTCTAGTGTCCCAGTGCTTGTTTTCGTAATGAGTAGTGACTAGACTTAATTGATCTATTTATTTTCGTTGTCGGTACGTGAAGGAAAGGTTTCAGTTCTCATTTTTTCTACACGATACTTTCTCAGGAAATGTTCCTTATTGTTTGTGTTATATTTCTCGAGACTATTAAATTGATGAGTCGACTCTATTACTTTCTTTGTTTCACATTTTGCAAAGTAACGCAAAACTTTTGCGTAATTTCAAAAAACATTTCACATTCCATGTTTAGAAATATTTCGTTTTCTAGTTTGTATTTTTCTAGCGATAAGTGATTTCATAATTTTCCACGTTTTCTGTCATTCGTCCTTTAGAGATATATAATTTAACGAGTTCTATTTTCTATGTACCAAAGTACATTCATTAGTTATAAGTACTTCATGCCATTTTCAATGTTTATTTGACTATATGAGTATTAACTTTTGTTGAATGACAGATCGTAATAAAAACGACAATAAAAAGATAGTTACCCCTTTTCCCTCAATTTTGTTTCAATTAATTACCAAATTTATTGTGCATTGTTTTTTTTTTATTAAAAAAAAAGTGTAATCTAGTAAAAAATAAAAATTTCATTCACTATTTTTTACTACAATGCGCGGCCAATTTTCCTGCGCATGCGTATTTCTCAATAGAATATGTGCATACAGTGTGTACGTCTGGTACACCTCTAAAACATTGTTCACACATATATCCTACCAAAATAAAAACATTTACTCTTGAAAAACATCTCAAATTATCCGTGAATATTTGAAAATCATCATTGGCTGCAATAATGGGAGTACCGGCATTTTTTCGGTGGTTGAGTCGCAAATATCCTTCCGTGATTGTGGAATGCATCGAGCAGAAGGTGAGACTTCAGGTTATGTCTTCCATCAACCCCAAACAAACCCAAACAACCCCCATAAACTCACATAAATTACATTACCCAATGTACCAATTGGTATTTATTTAAATGATCTCTTCTTAGAAAACATCGATTGATGGGGTTGCCATTCCAATAAATTCATCAGATCCAAATCCAAATGGAGTCGAGTTCGACAATTTGTACCTCGATATGAACGGTATAATTCATCCATGTACCCATCCCGAGGACAAACCAGCCCCAAAAACCGAGGACGAGATGATGGAGGCGATATTCGAGTGCATAGATCGACTATTCGCAATAGTTCGACCCCGAAAAATTCTCTACATGGCGATCGATGGAGTTGCCCCTCGGGCAAAAATGAATCAGCAACGATCACGAAGGTTTAGGGCCTCGAAGGAAACATCAGAGAAGATCTTCGAGATGAATAGAATTCGATCGGAGTTGCAGTCGAAGGGTGCATACCTACCTCCGGAGAAGCCCAAAGAGGAACATTTTGACTCCAACTGCATCACCCCAGGGACTCCATTTATGGCGAGACTCTCTGCGTGTCTTCATTATTACATTCATGAGAGATTGAATAATGATCCTGGGTGGGAGGGAATCAAGGTCATTCTGAGTGATGCCAATGTTCCAGGGGAGGGTGAGCACAAGATCATGGACTTTATTCGTCGACAGAGAGCTCAACCTGATCACGATCCAAATACTCAGCATGTACTGTGTGGAGCTGATGCTGATTTGATCATGTTGGGGCTTGCCACTCATGAACCTAATTTCACAATTATAAGGGAGGAGTTCAAACCGAATAAACCAAGACCCTGCGATATCTGTGGACAGTTGGGTCACGAAATGAAGGATTGCACCGGAGCTGAGCCGGATGCCTCAAAGGACGATGTTGCTTTTGGCAGTGAATGCCAATTCATATTCGTTCGATTGAACGTCTTACGAGAATATTTAGAACGAGAGCTGCAGATGCCAAATCTCCCCTTCAAGTACGACTTCGAGAGGGCTATCGATGATTGGGTATTCATGTGTTTCTTTGTGGGAAATGACTTCCTCCCGCATTTACCTTCATTAGAGATCAGAGAAGGAGCAATCGATAGATTAGTCAATCTTTACAAGAAGACTGTTTACAAAACTGGTGGATTTCTCACTGACAGTGGTGATGTCAATCTTGACAGGGTGCAGTTGATACTCTCGGACCTCGGGGACATGGAGGATGAAATATTCAAGAGGCGACAGCAGAATGAATTAGCTTTCAAGCAACGTGAGAAGAACAAGAAGAGGCGACTCGATGCTATCAGTAATTTCAAACCCAAATGGATTCCCACTGGCCAGTTTGCACCGAATGCCATCGGTGGAGAAGTTAAACCTGTGCAAAATGCCAGATATGAGGCTTATCAGATGCGAATGATGGGGAGGAATTTTTCGACTAGTGCTTCTGAGCGCAAGCTTCAGACCACTGATGCTGGCAGTGCTCTTCAGGCTATGCTGGTGCCTGAAGGGGCTGATAGGGGGGTCAAGAGGAAGAGTGATGCTGCTGAGGAGGAGGAAGATGATCAGGCTCACGACGAGGTCAGACTCTGGGAGGATGGATTCAAGGATCGGTATTATGAATCCAAGTTTGACGTTTCCATCGATAATTTGGAGTTTAGGTTTGTTTTTTAATTTTTATAAATATTATATTCATATGAAAAGCTGAGGAGATGATTGAGATTGGCGATATGATTTTCTTTCAGGAATAATGTTGCTCTTCAGTATGTTCGAGGCCTCTGCTGGGTTCTGAGGTACTACTATCAAGGGTGCGCATCGTGGAAATGGTATTTTCCTTATCACTATGCACCTTTTGCCAGTGATTTCATTAATATTGGGGGTCTCTCCACCGAATTCGAAAGAGACACAGTGCCTGTAAGCACGAAAAATCATTAATCCTAATGCTCCATTGAAGAAATAATTATTACCACGAAAAACAATTCATATCTAATATTTTATTTTATTTGGATCAGTTCCGTCCGTTGGAGCAATTGATGGGTGTATTTCCTGCAGCTAGTAGTCGTCATGTACCGAAACCGTGGGCCAAATTAATGAGTGATCCTGTGAGTATTCTCTCATGATTAAACTACGGATGTGAATAACGCCATTGTAAATGAAGATAGAATTGTACAATATTTTAATTACTTCGATTTCGTTACAGAGATCAACGATAATAGATTTTTATCCAGAAGACTTCAAGATTGATCTCAATGGAAAGAAGTTTGCTTGGCAAGGAGTTGCTCTACTGCCATTTGTCGATGAGACGAGGTTATTCAAGGCTCTCGAGCCTTATTATGAAGTTCTCACAGAAGCAGAAAGTAATTTTCCCTATAATTTTATTTAATCTTTCTCCTCAAAATTATTTTTTGTGCGAATTCATAATGACAGGTCTGCCTTCATCAATTATTCATTAAGGTTTCCCTATAATTTTTTTTTATTTTCCAGAGAAACGTAATGTGAGGGGTGACGACAGGTTATACGTTGGACCTGGAAACAGTGGATACAACTTCATAAAAGGACTGTACAATAATGGAGTAGATCAAGATGCTGAGACAGAGATTTCAATTGATGGAATGAGGGGAACCGTTTTATTGGCTGAGGATTGTGTAGGTGAAGGGGCCACTCTACCATCTCCCATCAATGGAGCACCTGTTCGATATAATAAAGTTTATTGGTAATTTTGAACTTTAATTGCAATTAAAAAAAAAGTAACAGAGACAATCAATGAGTCATAGATAGCGATCAAAGAAGTTCGTAAAAATACTTTCTTATGGAGAAAGACGGCATTGATAAATTTTGTTTTCATTCAATTTTTTTATTTCTATTTTCAGCGGGAGATATCGCGATCCGAAGTACCCATCAGGCCACATTTTCCCTGCAGAACGATTGAATGGTGTCAAAGAGCCACCTCGAGTATTAAAACCCCAAGACTTTGAACAGATGAATCGTGACAATGGGAATCAGTGGAAGCCTCAGATCGGCTTTGTACGATCGGATAAAACCGCGACACTGGGCGAGGGAGGACATCGAATGCTGGGGTAAATACCAGAGTCAACTCTCAAAAATTTCAACTCTCAAAAATAACACAGTGACATTTTTATAATCTTTCACCTTTAATTTTCCAGACATCACACCAACGCCAATAGGAGTCAAGGCCAGTACTCCCACGTGCCACCTCCACAGAATTCTTATCAACGCGGTGAGTGGAAAAATAAAATTTTACAATGATTTTTCACAAGAAAAAATACGATTGATCGAGATCTATCTCGATCTATCGATCTCCGGGAAGTAAACAACTTAGTAGGCAACAATTTTTCATGCATTTCAAGACGAGAGCATCTTGACCTACCATGTGTTCATTCACGGTCATTTTTGCGGAATTTTTCTGTCGCGAATTTTTTAGACATGGACCTGATTGATCCTTAAAAAAAAACGCAATGCGCTCAGATAAATTTTCAGGCCCTTCCCGTAAAAAAAAAAACATTCCCTCCTTCCTCAGTAATCAAATGAACTTGAACAGCCCCTGAATTGATAAATTTGTTTGATTTCGTAGCACTAATACGCGGATTATCGATTAGCAATGAATCCCGTGAGATTCTCTCCGGGGCTGTTGAATTGGCCTCACTATTTGCGAAATACATATTTGCGAGGGGAACGCTTGCTGTGGGTAACGAGTGAGAGGCTTTCTGAACTCCGCCCCTGGTTAAATCCGCCAGTCAGTCAGTCACTCAGTCAATCGTTCTTGGTCGTAACTCCCTTCCATCTTCCAGGATCAGTGAAAGAAAGTATTAAACGAGAAATAAAAATTGAGAGATAAAGGGAAAGAGAGAGGAATTAAAATACGAACTGTTGAGTATCAGTCGTTTCATTCTGAATCACGTACTGATATCCTTCACAAGTGTTTTTCATTGTTTCTCTCCAGGGGAGGGATTCCTTTAATCGCCCCTTAATTCTCTTTTTAGTCTCTCTTTTCAGGGCTCACGACCCTGCTTAAGCTCAGGCTGACTTGCATTTGATTCCAATGAAAAAAAGAAAGCAAAAAAAAAGCATTTCCATTTTTTTTTCTTGCCGTCTGGGATTTGTTTTCACGTGAAAAATTATTGTGCCCGATTTTTGTCTTATTTTTAGAAGAATTTTTGCATACGATCGTTTGGCGAATAGACATGAAACTCTCGAGTGCAGATGGGGGTTGATAGGCGTAGGGGTTTTGCCTGTGAATTAGCTGCAAGGGTAGTTTGTCACGTAACGCGTGACTTCCAGAGTTTCGTTGTTTGACACGTCGATCAAGCATTTGTGAATCAACCCCCAACCCCCCCGGGTGAACGCCCACCTCCAGTTTCACTCCACGCTTTGCCCAATTATAAAACAAGCCCTCGGTGCACAGCCGTAATTATCCAATTAGCGAATAACTCTCGGCTTCTGGATAGCGTGCCTTTTCTCCCTCTTTTCCCATTTTCATCGGCAATTCTGGTTAGAGGGATCGAACGGTTTATCAACGTGTGAGAATGCAATTTCTACGGTGTTGTGATATTTTTTTTTTTGACAACTCCGCAAGTGGTGCGAATTATTCGTCTGTATTTTCAAAGTGAAAACTGGTGTCAAAAATGTTTAACAAAACATCCAAATTTGAGGTCAATGGATTGACACGTAATGAGGAAATGACTGGAATTTATTAGTTCCTCGGACATTTTTTTATTATTGACAGAAGAACAAGAATGCAATAACGTAATGTACACATTGAAAAGGAAGAACCAAACGCGTCCATCGGCAATCCATCTCCCTCTGTTCATTGAGATGACAGGTGGAGACCCTCGTTAGACAAATTATACTCTGGGTTCTCTTGGTGTTGTGTGTGGAAAGCTCGTATGGGTGATAGTGGATGGCCGTTGGGTGTATATAACCATGGCCAGGTTCCAGCATGGTGAACCCCCTGAAGCTCGTTCAGGACGTGGGCTTCGAGTGGACTGCAAACACTCGACACCACCCAGTGCCTAGGCGAAAAACCCCAGGGTCCCGACCAGTGGCTCGTCTCTTTCGCTACCGATGGTGCGGTAGGTACACCTCAACCTCTCCTTCTTTCCTTTCCCATATATTTTTCTTCAAAACTTTTTTCCTCTCTTATTCCTCAGTCTTCCTTCAAAATAATAAAAATTCTCCTCCTCAAATAACGCCAATGTACCAGTTATTGCCACTTTTAGCCTTTCGCGTTCGCTTTAATCGTCCGAACAAGTGGATTATTTCGTATATTTCAGTTCTCCATCCCCTCTCATGATAAATTAGCGAATTTTTCGCATTTTTATGTTTATTTAAATATTTTTCAAGTATTCATTTGCCAGAGAGAAGAGTTTAGTCTTCTAATACCATATTTCTTACCTCGCGTTATTTCTAATTATTCCTTTACACTCACAATAATTATTGATATTAAAAAATGAATTGGAATTGATTGGCACTCGAAATTTTATTTTATAGGTATTTTAGGACAGATTTTTCTCGTGTATTACTTGGATATTCCCAGAAATAGAATTTTCCCTTAATTAATATAATTGCGTTGCATCAAAGAGATGAAAGAATACAAAATCTCAAGTCAAGTGATATTTCCATCGAACGTTCAAAGAGCACAAAGATTACTTGCAATCCTTTGATATATTTTTCACCTTTCCGTTATTTTCATTCTGCTAACAGACGTGAAAATCAATTCGTGAATGAGGCCAAAGGTAGTGCCAGTGCTGGCCCTTAAAACCGAGGGACTTTCTCGCTAATGAGGCACAGCGTAATTAGTGAGACTGTCTGCTGGGGTTGGCCTGGTCCTCCAGATTGAAGAAAGGGGCGGCACAACTCTCTCTCATGTGTCGACTTTTCTCTCTGCATACCACTCACCATCTCCCCCATTTCTTCTATTTCAATTTCTCAGGAAGAAAATAATAAGAGTGAAAAAAAAATTCCTTTCCCATTTTTATTTGTTCTGTTATCCAAAGAGCTGGTGAGGTACATATCCAAGCGGAAGATCAGGCTCACACGTTTGGTGGTGTGATATTGACGGACGTCAACTCCAGAGCCTTGCGGCTAATTTCTCCGCATTGATGCTGCATTGTGCTTCAAATCGTTTCACAACACCCCCTCGTGCCATTCCTACTGGCTCCTATTGTCCTTTCATTCCCCAAACTCGTTCGTATGCATAATCAACCATCAACCATCGCATCAACCCTCTCGTTGCCTTTTCCACTCTCGTCGATCTATTCTACCTGTTAAATTTCTCAGCTTTTATCACTGTAATGACGATTAATTAATTATTTAATTAATTAATTGTCGGACAATGGCACATGTTGATTTAACGGACATTCCTCTTGATTTTTTTTTCGGCTAGCATCTCATCGGTGGCACTCACCGTTATTCACCCAAAATCCTCGAAAACTCGTCCGTAGAATTTACCGCACTATTGAGTCCAAATCTTGTACCTGATTCTCCCATCTTCGTTCATCCTTTTGAATTTCTCTCCTCTTTCCTCGATCCAGGCTCCATTATCACTCGAATTTTAACCCTCAAAGAACTCACCAGTCTTCCCTGAATTTATGCGATTTAATACAGCAGTTTTATCCTCTTTTTTTCCTCGACGAAGGTTAATTGGTGAGAGTCAAAAGAGATGAAGAGTAAACGAAGAAAAATAAATGGAGAGAATTTTAATTTAAAATTGTTCACAATTTTTTTTTCTCTCGCTCTCTCTCTCTCTCTCTCTCGGAACTGAAAATAGAACGATGAGATAAAGAAATGGGGGATCCGTAATTTGCTTTGAAGAGAGAATGAATGGTGGAGGGATGGTTAAATAAGAGGAGAAATATAACAGACGATAGAGTACAGGTGAAAAGGCCGAATATTTACCAAACAAAAAATAAAATCTCTGGACCTTTCCTACTGTCCGGATACACGGACCATTTACCTGCTATCAAGATCATCATTTAGTGTTTTACATGTTACGTGCACCAATAAATTTCAATGGAATAAAAATCATCTCTTGAAATCTTAAAAGCTACAAACAGTTACTCATTTTTTAGTGAAGATACCTAAATGTTTACGAGAAATTCTGAATGGAATCGATGGGATGAATAAAGTGGATAAAATCAGGACCAATTGGCTATAGTGGGAGAGAATTAAGCTAGCTCTTCGATTCTCAAGTGCGTGAGAATTCAATTTGTCACAATCGAATTTCCAAAATTGCCCAGCTCCGAAAATTTCTTCTGCTGTGAAATAATAATTTCCACTAAAACCACTATACAATTTTATTCCTTTTTTTTTGTTGAAAAAAAAACTAATAAAATTATTCCAATTATTATTCACTGTTCGTATCTATTATCAAAAACATTTGCACGGAGAGAATAAAATATAAAAAATTACCACGCCCATAGTAATGTATTATGAATAAATATATTTTTTATCCGTGTAGGGAAAATCTTTTTTTTTTTTTAACATTGAAATATCCGGGGATGTATGGGCCATTGACGTGGTATGCACTCATCCGTGAGTAAATTGAGAACCTAAACCTAAAATGCAGGTCGCTGCCTCGTAATAATAATATCAAAACCACATAAAATTGAAATCCGACAGATTGAAGAATTCTGAACAAATAAACTGAAGGTGGATTTACCGGAGGATATATATATATAAAAGAAAGAAAATTTGTATTATTGTGGGGTGCGGTTTTCCACCTCATTTCCACGTCGAGTACATGCGAGAGAATCTGATTGTCGAAGAGGACTCTTCTCGCTTCCATTGTGCTACTCACTGGGTCCAAGGATGATCCGTCGAATCGGATTTTTACGTGTGGCCTTCAATTCAACTTTACTCCTTCATGCGTGCCCTTTTTTTTCCCCTCTTTTTTTCTCTGTTATTCGCATCCACAAAAACCACAAAAAAATAGAGGTAATCGAGGGAGAGGAAAATCACATTGACGACCGCCATTTTCCATTTCCTAATTCAACCCACGGAATTATTGTTAATTAACAAAGAAATCATCGCCTCCTCGCTATAAGCTGAAATGTTAAATAGAAAAAAATGGAAATTATGAGAATAAATAATTTGATTTTCCAACGGAAAGGGAAATCGATGAAAATCGAATTGCGAAAAGATTTTTCTCATATATACTCAACACGATAATATTTTTAATACATAATATAGATAAATATTCGTGAATTTTCTCAGTGGTTT